CAGTTCGATTCTGTCCGCGTTCTGTTCTGGTACGTGTGCGAAAAAAGGACTGTTCTGAATTGAATCTGTTCGATTTTAGGTCTGTTCGAATTTGAAAACGTTCGAATTCGTCGTACCCCCATTGTCATCTGTTGCAAAGCCGTGGTTTTCGAGTTACGACCCCTTNGAGCTATCAAGTTCCCACCTACTTTATATCTGACTTTCTATGGTCTTTCTAGGGTCGAATATAGGAAATCTTGTGTCAAAATCTGTCAAGAAAATTTTCAAAAGATTCCCTGACAAGAAGTCGGAAGCTTATTCAAATAGAAACAAAGTACAGAATTATTATATCCTCCACCCCCGAGAACTGATAAAGGGGGTGTTCCCTTGTTTGACTTTATGCTCAACTATAGAGAGGCAGAAGTGTTTGCATATAGGGCCGAACGCTTATTCCCCATTCTCTATTCCATTTTCTAATTAGTTGCAAAGCCGCAAAAAAAAAGAAAAAAAAAGGTTTTGCCGACAAGAGGAGTCGAACCCCGGACCTTTCGGATGGTTGGCAAAAGCCTTGCCACTGCGCTACGCGGCCAGTGAGATCAAATGTGGTGGTTGCGGTAGTCTATCGCGCGCTTTTAAGAGGTCGAGGGGTGCCTGGCGTGGCAGAGGGGAACAGCCAATTTAACCTAGTTATTCCGAGATACTGTTTTTGGGTGTTTTCAATAGGAAAAAAGAGGAAAAAAGATTTTTATCTTATTTGAAATCCCGCATTTTAACCTCGCCAGGTGAGAAAACTCAAGTTTTTTCCCTCTCGAACCGAAAAACGGTGTCACATTTTGTTATTTGTTTTTGAATACGATTTACTCTAAATACTCTTAAAAACACATTTTCCGAACCTTGGTTCCCATTTTTTCGCCTTTTTTCGAAATTTCCCATTTTTGGAAAAAAATTGCACTTGAATATTTTTCTGAACTCTCCCAGCTCCTTCCGCCGCGCTGCCTCTCCCGCTCCCCCATTCTTATATGCAATACCACCGTCTTTGTCCAGTAGCCGTCGTGGCGTAGTGGCTTAATATTTTGCCCATGGCCTACAAGGTCAGGGGTTCGACTCCCACTAGGCTATTTTCTCTTTTGGTTTTTGTTATGAGCAATCTAGTATGATTTTCGATAGTTTTTAGCTACTTTTAGATAGTTTTGGCCTGTTTTAGCTAGTTCCTCCCCCTCTAATCAGTCACACTACTATCAATCTTTGTATATAGATCATAATCTGCTTAATCTCTTTTGCCCAACTAATTTTCTTTATTCAATTAGATTAAAGCCAGAATCCCGTGTCATCACCTTTTCTTACACTAGTCGTCGAATTAGAAAAGAAAAAGAAAAAGAAAAACAACTGGCATTCGATTAGTGGGTTTCTCATTCTGTTTCCCAGGTCTCTAATTTATGGGTGGTTGCCTTCTTTTGATTCTATTTTCTTCCCCTTTAATGACTTTTAATCGAATTCTTTGAAAAAAACATTTTTTCGAGACAATCATTTTTTCAAATTCCCTCCTCCCTGCCGCCAGCCACCTCCTTACCCCCACACCCTTGTCTACGCCATCCACCCCTCTCTCCGTCAGTTGCACCTGTGGCGCAATGGCTTGCGCTTTTGCCCGCCAATCTCACTATTCGGGTTCGATTCCTTGGTGGGCTCAAACTCTTTTTTGCTCTTTTTAAAGGATTTTTTAAATGTTAACACATAGGATTTTGTTTTTCCTTGCCCTCAACAAGTTAAAACTTTCTTTGTTTTTCTCAAAAAAGTTCGTTCTACCTAGCAATTATAATTTCCTATGTATCATTTGACCCATATTTGACCCATCGTGGACTGATTGGTTTTTGGATTTCACTCTTATATGTTATAGAAAATTAAATGACAAAGGGCTAGGGTGTATAAGGTGTCCTTATATAAGAAGTCCTTATTAGGACAGGATCTTATATTGTATCCGGGTCCTAGAATTTTCTATAGGCGTTCATTTGAATTTTTGATTGAACGTTCGAATTCAGCTCGCTAAGAGCTTCAAGATATAAACATGACCTGATTTGGAAAAAAAATTTTGCAAAAAATTTTTTTTTGAGATCTCCAGATTTTCGCTTGTAACTTGAAAACTACAATTTTCCACTTCGAGAAATCACTAGCATTATTTTCGGCTTGTTGAGCGCTTCAAAATGAGTATAATCATGACCTACTTTCCTCAACTTTAGTTTTCATGGTACTGTATGCGCCTTTAAACCTGAAAATTAAAATTTGAGCAAACTAGGTCATGTTTATACTCATTTAAAAGCTCTTGATACGTAGATTTCACATTTCATGTTTATCTTCTTGTCAAAATTACGGTTTTCCCAAAAATTCAAAATTTCAGTCTAATTTTCCACATTTTTTAATTACCCGCCATTTTCTTTAGTTTGGGGCAAAAATTCTAACTTACATTTTGTGCCTTTTCAATTTCCTAATTTTCTTTCCAATTTTCGTTTAATGTCTTTTCCCAGAAATTTCGAGAAAACTTCAAAAACAATTTTTTCCAAAAAAAACACATTATTTGCCTTTTGCCCCCGAAATTCCGGTTTTCTAAGAGGGCAAGTAGTGAATAAATATGTCATCTCTCTTGTGATTTTTCCGAGACTCATTAGTTACCAAATTTATAGGTATACTGGTTTCTTGGAAATGTTCTGGAATTATATTAATGATTTTTTTTAATTTTGAAAATTCATGTTTTTACCCTATAACTCGAGTGATGTTTGCCATAAGCACAAATGGTTATTATATTCTTGTTTAGCTAGTCAAGGACTTTTAAATGAGTATAATCATGACCTACTTTCTTGAACTTTAATTTTGGGGGTACTGTAGCTAGCTTAAAGGCGCGCAGAGTACCTGAAAATGAAAGTAGGGGGAAGTAGGTCATGAGTATACTCATTCAAAAGCGCTTAACACGTTGAATTCAAATATACATTCAAAATGACATTTCTGCGTACGCTATGCGCCTTACAGTACCCTTAAAACTCAAATTAGAGAAACCTAGGTCATGATTATACTCATTTTGAAGCTCTCGGCTAGCTGAACGCATTAATAATATTTTCAGCTGCTTAAAACTTTGTCTTTGATCGGAAAAATCTGAAAATCGGAAAATTAGTCAAAAATCGGCTACTTCCGCTTTTCAAAACAACATTTTGCAACAAACAAAAAACTTCATAAGCCGTATTTACTGATAAGAAACCTGTGAACAAGGCCATAAAAACTGATTTCTCTAATTCTCTTTTCTCTCTCTCTCTTCCTAATAAAAAGTCCGTAGTTTTTATCACCGGTTATCTCTCCCTGATCAATTCCTTATGGTGTTCTTTTTTCTTGTTTTGTACTATTCTCTTCATCCATTGTTCTTTTTTTCTTTCCCTCCAACACCACCTACCCTTAACATGTTTTCTTCTGTTTCTATGGCTAAATTAGCCATTTTTTATTTTTTCTTAAATTTTTAGCCTAGGAGGTTGATAGATTTCTAATTGAATTAGATATTTGAATTCGGTGTATTTAGAGCTTCAAATTGATTATAATCATGACCTATTTCGCTCGAATTTGAATTTTCAGTTTAAAGGCGCATACAGTACCATGAAAACTAAAGTTGAGGAAAGTAGGTCATGATTATACTTATTTTGAAACACTTGACTATCTGAATAAAAATGTATCAACCAATTTAGTTTTAGACAGTTTTTACTTGAGTTATGGTCAAAAACATTGAACTTGAAGGTTCTGAAAAGGTATAACGCTTATTTTACTCTTGTACTCAGAGTTCTTATTTGAGATGCTACATTTTTTGAATCTACGTGCTTAGCGCTTCAAAATGAGTATAATGATGACCTAGTTTGCTCAATTTTGAATTTCCAGTTTAAAGGCGCATACAGTATCCCGAAAACTGAAGTTGAAGAAAGTAGGTCATGATTATACTCATTTTGAAGCTCTTGACTAGCTGAACAAGAATATAATACTTTGAGCTCTTCAAAATCGATATTCAGCAAGTTATGACCTCTTTTCTCTTTTTCAGGACACTGGCGAACAAATCAGAATGGAGATTCGCGGGATGAGTCGACCAGAATCCGTTCTTCAATTGGTACAAAAATTCGGAGAGATCTCTGCGGCTCAGGATAACGAAATTCATAAATCACGGCTTTCGCTGAAATTGGGAAAAGAGAATAATACGAAAACTGGGAGCAATAATCGCCAAATTTTGTTGCAACAATCCAAAAGTGGTCCGCCCACGCCTATTAGACATGGTACGAAGGTTTCGAATTTTAGAAATTTTTTGAATTTCTCAAATCGTTCCAGTAGCGCCAATCACCACAACATTCACACTTCCCGCACCTCGGATGCCAGTTGGAGGGATTGCCAGTCTAAAATGTGAGTCTTAAACAGACTAAAAGTACTTAAAAAGACTAAAAATAGGTCTAAACAGCTAAACAAAAAAAAAAAAAGAGATCTAGCAGCGAGTGGTTTCGATCCACCGACCTCTGGGTTATGGGCCCAGCACGCTTCCACTGCGCCACGCTGCTGTCGAGAAGAGTGTGGTGGGGAGTGCGTATAAGAATGGCAAGGAAAGAGGGGAGGGGGGGGGGAGACTCAAAGAGGAGGGGAGGAGAGGGGTAGTGTTAGAGAAATGGGAAATCTGGATATGAGGATTTTCGGATTTATGGATGGATTTTAAAAGATTTTGAGGAAGAAAAAGAGAGAAATAGAGAGATTAGAGATAAGAGAGTGATAGAGAAGCAAACAAACACTCGATTTTATTACAATAAAATGTGCACACGGATGCTCCCGGAGCAGTAGGAGCAGGGGGATTATCGAGAAGAAGAAAAATTACACACAATTTGATTGTTTGAGAAAATAGGGGGAGAAAGAGATAGGCTCTACTTGACCAGTAGTTGGAAACTACTCGATCACTCTTCGCGAAACCGATTATATCACAACATTTTAGTTCCGATGTGTGGTATATTGAACTCTTAAGAAACTTCTAAACACCTCGATTCGAAATGTTATCATTCTTATCACATTTCTGAATTTTTCTAATTTTTCCAAGTTTTCAAAATTCCTCTCCTCCTCATCGCCCCCTCCCGTCAAGTAAGGAAAAACCGCGGTGTTCTATACGCCTTCCACTCCTCCATTTCAAGAAGCCCCCCGTGGCCGAGTGGCAACGCTTTTGCCCACCACCCACAAGGTCCGGGGTTCGATTCCACTTGCTGGCAAACTTCTTTTTTCGTTTTTTAAAAACGTTCTAGGTGGAAATCCGGAAATTTAAACATCTGGTCTCGAAAATTTCCCACATGTTTTCACTTCTACAAAAAAAAAACGAAAAGAAAACGAAAAACGAAAAAATGATCACATGAAAACTGACAGCTTTTTGCTCTATCCGTCATTTTTTATAGGTTTCTGCTCCCTGGTTTTCTAGAAAAGTTTCTAGAACTTTTTTGAGCTCTTTGAAAAAAAATTAATAAAAAAAATTTTTTCAGCGGAGCCAAAAATGTCGCGTCCCAATATGTTTAAACAGATGGAGAAGGTTGGAGCCAAGTGAGTTTTTTTTCAAATTTCAAAAGTTTAAATTGCTGGCCTAGAAAATTCCTAGGCCACTTTATATGGATGAGTCCAACAGAACGAATTTGCAGCCCAACCTCTGCCGCACCACCACGCCAATTGAACCCCAACTCGATCAAAGACGCTCTATTGAGATGGATTCAAAATCGGGTTGCTGGTTATCCGGTATTCTTTTTTTTTAATTGAAAAAAATTGAACTACAGTAACCCAAAAATGTTTCCAGAACGTCAATGTCACCAATTTCTCATCCTCTTGGGCTGATGGTATGGCATTCTGTGCTCTCATCCATCGTTTTGCCCCTCAATCATTTGATTTCTCAACGCTGGACCCGAAAAATCGGCGACAGAACTTCGATTTGGCATTCAAAGTTGCAGAGTGAGTCGCCCTCCATTCCTTGAAAATGTCCCAAAAGCGCGCCGTTTAAATACGACAACCCGCGCTTTAACCTCAGTGGGCTGTGTGGTGTAGTGGGTTATCGTTTTGACATGGGATCAAGAGGTCCGGGGTTCGAACCCTGAGGTGGTAAATGTCTTTTTACTATTTCGTTTTGTTAGGATATGTGATCTAGAATGGCCGAAAAGCTCATAGTCAGAGTTTTTAGAGAAGAGCAGGGGAATATTCCATTTTAATCCCCCTACCCATTCGGTTTTGACCCCCCTAGAGAAGACGTTGGAAAAGCCCCCCCCCCCCCACCAACAGGAATTCAAGATATCAACAGTACCCCCCACATTTCATTATAACCACCCACCCTCATCAACTGAAAAATAGGCTTAGGCAAAAACGGGCGGAAGTAAAAAAGATTCCAATAGGTCACCCCACCCCGAAGGGGGGGGGGGCTATAATATTGTTTTTACTTGGCTGAGTATTTAACGTACGCAGCCAAATTAAGGCGGGGAAGTTCATTTTTACCTAGAAATTTTCATTCATACCTAAATTCAGTCGTTTGAATCGACACCGGGTGTGCCATAGTCTTCGTTTGGTGGGCCCTAATAAAATATATTGGGGGGCCAAAACCGAAGTTTGACAAGGATTCCAATTAAACCTTCCAAATCAAAGGTGGGGGGACCATTCGGACTCCGGAATAACCGAATTTTCCCAAGGGCAGCTTTGAAAAATGCAAAAAAAAGCATAACAATTTTCTACCTACTTTTTCGCTATTTTGGCTTTTTTTTAGTTATTAAATGTGTTTTGGCTAGATGTATTAGGTTGGCGGGAAAGTCTTTGTCACTCTGTTTGTTTAATCACTGTTCTCGTATATGGAGGCTGTGTATGATATCGACTCTAGTGAATAACAAGGTGATAAGAACCTTCCATATAAACAAGTCCCCATTTCCTTCCCTGCTCCTCATCTGTAATTGAAACGATATGTTTGTTCCCACTGCTATTCACATCAGACATGTTTTGATTTACCTCTTCCTATCTCACACCACGATGAAGGATTCGGAAACTTTCTTGAAGAATGTGTACAACACACATGCCCCTCACTACAATACTATTCGCAATTGGTTCCATCGTTTCGAAAAAGATGACTTCTCGCTCGATGAAAAGGATCGCTCTGGGAGACCCCGTGAGTTGGATTTGGACAAGCTGAAGCACGCATTGCAATCGGATCCATTTCAATCTAGCCGTGAACTAGCTGTCACATTCGGAGTTCACCATAGCACAGTCCTTGAAGGTTTGAAGTCTCTTGGAATGAGAAAACTTTTTGGTCGATTCATACCTCATCACCTGACTCAAGCCAACCTTGACCGCCGAGTCGACGATTCGATTACTCTTCTCACTCTCCACGCGGGCGATCGATGGCTGGACCGGCTAATAACCGGAGATGAGAAGTGGGTCTTCTACGATAATCACCACAGGAAATCCCAGTGGGTTGGAGAAGGAGAGAGCCCACAGGATGTCCCCAAACCCGACCTTCATCCGAAAAAAGTTATGCTCTCTGTGTGGTGGGGAGTGGACGGCCCCATCTACTGGGAACTTCTGCCCGAGGGCAAAACAATAACTGGAGACCTCTACACTACTCAACTACGAAACCTCAAGAAAGCAGTCGACCGTTCGGCCCTGAAAGACATGAAAGTGTACTATCAACATGATAACGCTCGCCCACATGTTTCGAAACAAGTGAAGCAGGAGCTGATGGGATATGGATGGAATGTTCTCCCTCACCCCCCGTATTCTCCTGATCTTGCTCCTTCCGACTATTGGTTATTTGGCGATATGACACGTGCCTTCGAAGGAAGAAGCTTCAATTCCCGTGGAGCGGTCGAAGCGGCACTCAAACAATACTTTGCCTCACGCCCGGCTGGATTCTACCGCAATGGAATCCATAAATTGAGGGAACGTTGGAGACATGTTGTTGATAATGATGGACAATATAATTTATTATTCGGTTATTTTTTCTTTGAGAAATAAACTATTGAAAAAGTGACAAAGACTTTCCCGCCAACCTAATAAAATCAAATTTCCTATCGATTAGTCTAATTTTCATCTTTCTAGGATGTCTATGACCAAAGTTATGAGCCTCCGCGCCCCTAAAAAGCTGGCAGTTTTCCTAGCTCATTTTCGCACTTTTAGCAAAACTTTAAAAATACGAATTTTACATGGCTAGATGTAAAACAAAATTTCCTGTCGATTGATATAATTTTGATCTCCCTACGACGCCTATGAAAAAAGTTATAACCTTCTGAAAATCACCTTAAAATGAGAATAAACTACCGCGCACCTATACGCCCTCCCACCTTCTTTTTTTAGTGAGCGTTCTGACTTAGTTGATTAAGCTTTTGCCCACCAATCTAGCATCGGGGGTTCGACTCCCACCCGCGGCAAACACTTTTTGCTTCTTTTTATAGGAGGCCTAAGTCAATTTTCAGTCAAAATTCGATTTTTCAGGGATAATGGAATATTCCCACTGCTCGAAGTCGACGATATGATCATGATGGGTGACCGTCCGGACTGGAAATGTGTCTTCACCTATGTCCAATCATTCTACAAACAATTCCGTGATCATCCATAAAGTTCACTGGAGCGCATTTACAAAATTTTTTTGCTTCCTATTTCCCATGCCATTCTTATACACAGCTTTAACACGAAAATTCAAATTTCGCGCCGTTTTTCTCCAAAAAATATCGTTTCCTGTAGTCGAGTAGCTCCTCCCCAAACCCTGTCAACTGGTTAACTTTTTTTTTAATTTTTCAAATTTCCCGCCCAACCAATTACTGCTTATTTATGAAAAAACAACACATTGCTCATTGTTTTACACTGAAAATACCCAACCGAACTTTCTCGAAATTTTCTTGTTGTGTTTTTTTTTGAATTCCCTCTAATAAATCATTTGTGTTGTTATTTATATTTTTATTTACACAAGAATGGTTCAATTTACGAAGCTTCGCCCACATAATGGCCTTTTGCAGTTCTGCGGCGCGCTTTCGGTTTTTTCGAAATTTTTGGTTTTTTGGCGATTTCTCTCGGAAAAGTCACATTTTTCAGACTTTTAAAACAATTTTATCGTTAAAAATGCTAAATTTAGCTTTAAAATCGCAGAAAAAATCGAAAAAAGTGTGTTTTTTTTCAATTTTTTGAAACTTTCTGCGATTTTTTTCCAATAGTTTTTATAATAAATCATTTGTATTGTTATCGAAAAATTTTATTTACAAAAAAGTGTTAAATTTACGCAGCTCCGCGCACAAAAAGCAGCTTTTGCAATTCTGCGGCGCGCTTTGTCGTTTTTTTTTCGAATTTCGGGTTTTTCTAAGGAATTTTTCTTTGAAAAAAGTTTTTAGCTGTTTTTGAGGCTTTTGAACTATTTGTTAGCTTTTAAATGTTAAATTACAGAGAAAAATCGGCGAAAATTCGAAAAAAAAACGAAAAAATGCGTTTTTTCATCGATTTTTTGCTGCTAAATGAGTTTTTCAGGCTTTCAAAAAAATTTTCGTTTTAAAATGTTGAATTTTGAAGAAAAATCGCAGAAAAGCTCAAAAATTCGAAAAAAAATGACAAAGCGCGCCGCGGAGTTGCAAAAACCGCGCGCGGCGGTTGCGGTGGGCGGGGCCTAAACGGTAAACACTGATTTTTACAATTGACAGATAAAAATACAACAAAACACAATTGAAATGCAAAATTTGAAAAAAAAATTTCCTTTTTTTGTTAAAAATTCTTTAGTACATTTCCTTCTCAAACGGATTATCGATTTTGAAGCTGAAATCAACGGAACGGCTCAGAAAATCGCGGAATTGCTCAATAAGACTATCACGACGACGGCTTTCAGCGATTGGTTGTGGTTGGAGGTCCATGTCATCAGATGACGAGTTAGATGACGTGGATGCTGAAAACTTGTAAAAAATTTCAGAAAAACTGATTGAAAGCTTTAATTCTGTAGTTTACAGCTTTTTCATAGCTTTCTCGGTTTTTGAGATATGCTTTTTCCGCACGACCACTCTTTCCGCACGACCACTCTTTAAAGGCGCATATCTCAAAAACCAAGAAAGCTAAAAAAAAGTTATAAACTACTAAAATGTAGCTCTAGAAATTCTATATATTTTGTTAGTTTCAACTTTTTGTTAGCAACTATAGCTTTTGAGATATGCGCCTTTAAAGAATAGGCGCGCGCTGACGACGCCGACTTGTGCTACGAGAATGTGTTCTAAATTTAAAGGCGCATATCTCAAGAGCAATAGTTGACAGCAAAATTTTGGTAACTACCAAAATGTGTAAAATTGTATAAGCTACATTTTTGTTATCTACAACTTTTTGATAGCGCTTCTGGTTTTTGAGATATGCGCCTTTGAAGAATGCGCTCTCGGTGTCTGCGCTCTAGGGGTGTCCCAACTTGAAAGGCGCATATCTCCAAAACTAAAAAAGCTATCAAAAAGTTGTCAACTAGAAAAATAAAGCGCTAGGTTTGTTTTATACTCCCTGAGTTTTTCAAAAAAAATGGATTAGTACTAAGTCCCAAATTAGACCCTCAAAGTTGGTAAAACTTACCATCACTAAATCTTCGATTTTGAATCTTGTTGGATTCCATCATCAAATCTTTGGTTGACATGTTCAACATCTTTTTGTTCTTCTTCTTCTTTTTATCAACTTATCAATCACCTATCTGTCCCTTTAAGTAGCTATTTTTTTTTTAAAAGTGGGCGGCGCCTATGGATACATACACGTGATGGTTATCAGTTAGATGCTTTTATATGTCTTATCAGTTTATTAATAGAGAGAAATAGTGGAAAAAAGAGAGGGTACAGAGAAAAAGGGTAATCGAGAAAACAATTTGTTGAGACCAAGGACAGGGTGTAGCCAAAAATAGAAAAAAAAATAAAGTTTAGAAGATTCCGGAGGCTTGAGCCACAAGGTTCAAAGCAAGGTCCATAGAATAGTTTGTTTTGTTCCATCAGGTGTCTGGATGATTTCTTCATGATACAGTATCTCTTCTCTCACCCAATCATAGTGATAATGTTTTCGAAACATGTATGATTGTGGTTATTACAGTATACAGATCCACAGAGAAAATGAAGGAGGTTACGGTTAGGATGAGGATGACCAAGTAGGCAATCTGAAAAAAGGAATATCTTAAAAACTGGAGTAGCTAGCGACTGTATCTAGACAAGAGATTTGTTGAGCTTAAAATTTTACATATTTAGTTAGTTGACAAGTTTTTCATAGCTTTCTTGGTTTTCGACTTATGCGCTTTTAAACTTTAGGCCTTTCCGATGAATCCGCACACATCCTTTTTAAAGGCGCATCTCTCAAAAACCAAAAAAGTTATTTGAAAGTTGCGAATTACAAAAATGTAGCTCATAAAATTTTACACAATTTAGTAATTGCTAAAATGTTGCTAGCAACTATAGCTTTTGAGATATGCGCCTTTAAAGAGCTGGCGTGCACCTACGCCGCCGACGTACGGCGACGAGTGTGTGTTCCAACTTTAAAGGCGCATATCTCAAAATCAAACAAATCTAGAAAAAATTTGTAAAATCAGTGTGAAATTTTATTAGCTACATTTTCATATTTGTCAATTTTTCGATAACTTTCTTAGTTTTGAAATATGCGCCTCTAAACTTTAAAACTGAAGCTTATACACACCGAAGACTCACTCATCCTCTTTAAAAGCGCATATCTCAATAGAAATAGTTGCTAACAAAATTTTGTTAACTAACAAAAAATGTTAAATATTATAAGCTACATTTTTGTAATTTTCAGTTTTTAGATAACTTTTTTAGTTTTCGAGATATGCGCCTTTAAAGACAATGTGTGCATCTTCGGTGGGTGTGCGTTCAAAGCTTCAAAGTTTAAAGGTGCATCATATTTTTAAAAACAAATCGAGTATATTAGAATCATACATCATGTTGTAGATTTTTTTAGGTTCTACATTTTCGTTCTATACAACTTTTGGATAACTTTCCTCGTTTTGGAGATGAGACCCTTTAAATAAGACAAACTCACACTCGATTGAATGAAATAGGCTGCAAACGACACATGAATGATTCCAATGACGCTGATGAACTTGAACATCTTGTGATAGGGATATTTATCAAAGTCTATCTGGATGAAGTATTTTTTTAAGTTCGATGAAAACAGCATCAGGAATAAAGGAAACAAGTACATGGCGATGTGATAAGATAGAAAGGAAATCTGAAAAAGCAACAATTCGAACTACTGTAGAAAGTTTGAAGGTGGGGGGACATGAAAAAAATAATGTTCTCGAAATTCCATTCAAAGATGCCCCTCGAGGATTTGAACTTGTGAGGGCGATGATTGAGGGTGCGGCGCTACCGACTGAGCCACGCGGGTAAAGAGAAAGCGCACGCCCGTTTGCATACATAAAGGCGAGGACGACAGCTGTACGCAGAGTGACATTAAGCGTTGTACACCGTCACGGTAGAATGCATACTCTAGCTACAAAAAAACTACGAAAAATCTCCTGTCCCCCCACCCCTTTAAGGCATCATCTATGTGATACAGTACTAAGAAAGCACTAACCTCCTTATAATGTAAACTATCCCTTGTGAGAATTGTCGCAATAATCACCCAAACTAAAATGAGCATTCCAGCGAGCCCGCTTCGAACATCTCTCATTTTCTGCTGTCCCTCTGGCCATGATTCAAAAAAAGTGCCGGTGACACAGATAAACCAGTAAACTTGCAACCCGATATTTGTTATCCAATAGTCATAATCCGGATAAAAAAATGAATGGAGAAATGAAAATTGAGGTCCAAGTGAATATAGATGTGTAGATGCAAAAATGTTTTAAAATTAAAATAAATCGGGTTCAATGGAAATTTCCAGAGCTCTCTGATCATGTAGTTTTTGCGTTGTGGGTTTAAAACTAGCATGTTTCTGGGGGGAGGATTCAGAATTTTCAGGGTTTTGATCCAAATAAGAGGAAGAAATCAATAAATAGTTATCGATATATCTGGTGGTACGACGGATCGAACATTTCCCAAAATGAAATGTTTCTGAATCGAAATACTTCCAAATTGAAAAATTTACGGGATGAAAACTGTCCGAAAGCAGAAAAGGCGAAAGTGGAATTGTTCTAAAGTAGAACTCTTCCGTTTTGGACAACTGTTAGCAATAGAGCGCTCGCGCTAACAGCTGTCCAAAACGGGACAATTTCACTTTAGGCATTTCTGTTCCGTCCAATTTATACTTCCGGACAGTTCTGATTTCGCACAGTTTTCAATTTGGAACCATTTTGATTTAGGAAATGTTCATTTTGCTACAGTTTCATTTTAGGAAATCTCCAATCCGTCATACCACCATATATCTATAAGACTCTCAAGAGCTACAGGACTCGAGATTTTTCGGGGGGTTTTCGTGGCGCATTCTATTGATCTAGAGGTAGAAATCAATCGAATGAGACACAATCGACTTCGCTGGTCGGTTCTCATGGGAAGAGGTACGGTAGCAGTGAGGTGTGACTACATAGGAGGGAAAAAAGACCACAAGCTACAGTAATCCAAGGCTTAAACCAGGACTCCCCAGGTACCGTAACACATGGTTCACCGGCTACAGTACACCAAGACCACCACAGGCTACAGTAACCCAATGAATTCCAGGACCCTCTCTTCCAGTGATCCATATTGTGACCCTGGTAGTACTGTAGAGTCAGTTGAATAATCCGCGGACTACTGAAGTTGGAGGTCTTGCTGGTGCCGTTCAGAATCGGGTTACTGTAGTTTGCGGTTACTTTAATGGTCTCTGTTTTAATGTCACTGTTGGACCATGGGTTACGGTAGTTTGTAGTTCTGGTGGGCAGGGGGTCCTTGCTGGCCTTCCTTGTCACACGTCGCTGCTACTTTAGCCCTTCTCAGGAGAACCGACAAAAATCGATAGGCATTCATTCGAGAAATCAATGAGGTTATTGATTTCTGCGTAATTTGGAATCAAACCTCTTAAAATTCTGACTTCCCACCAGAAACAATGCTAGTTATCAACGAAAAGCGTGGCAACTACATGCTCAATGAGCTCTGGAAACTTCCATTCAACCCGATTTACTTCTTCTTGAAACATTTTTACGTCTACACAGCAGAGATGAGCGGAAGAGATTTACGGAAATTTACGGAAGACGGTTTAATTTCAAAATGAAAAATGCTACCAAAAAGTTGTGAACGGACAAAATGTAGATCTCAATGAGAGTTATTTATTGGTATAAAAGTTATCTCATAATAGTGATGGAGAGTTGAGATATGGCGTTTCTTCCGTGTTCCGTCTTCCGTCTGGCACACGGAAGACGGAAGACGGAAAAAAGACTCTATTTGAATAATCCAACAAAACAGCTTTTTGGTAGCATTTTTCATTTCGAAGATAAACCGTCTTCCGTAAATTTCCGTAAATCTCTTCCGCTCATCTCTGCTACACAATGACATTCACATTTGCCTCGTCTATCGCTTTCTGGCATTCGTATCCATTCGTTTTTCTTGTTTGAAAGCTCAGGAATGACCTAAAACCTAAAAGTTCAAAAAATGAGAAATGTTCGAATTGGGCTCGCTGGAATGCTCATTTCAGTTTGGGTGATTATCGCGGCTGTTTTCACAAGGGATAGTTTGAATTATTGGAAGGTTAGTGAAGGTTCGCTTCAAATGCGCTTATCTCAAAAACCAAAAAAGTTATCAAAAAGTTGTTAACTACAAAATTGCAGAACATAAAATTTCGTACATTTTCTAAGTTGACAAAACTTTGCTAGCTAATACGGTTTTTGAGATATACGTCTTTAAAGTTGAAACACACCCCGTCGGCGATGTCGGCGCAAAGTCATTATTTAAAGGCGCATATCTCAAAAACAATAATTGCTAGCGAAAATTTGTTAACTAACAAAATGTATGAAATTTTATGAGCTACATTTTTGTAGTTTATAGCTTTTTGATAGTTTTCTTTGTTTCAGAGATATGCGCCTTTAACGACAATGAGCGAGATTTTTTTTTCAGATTTCCCATACATCGTATCAGATCGCCATGTTCTCAATACCTGCTTTTATGGCTCTGTTTTCGTCAAAATATAAGAAGCACTTCCTTCAGATTGATTTTAATAAATTCTCTTATCATAAGATGGTCCAAATCGTTGTCGTCATTGGTATCATTCATGTGTCGTTTGCAGCTTATTTCATTCAATCGAGTGTGAGTTGAATTTTGGCACTTAACTAAATTCGAACACATGGATTTCTGTTTGAATTCAATAGAATCATGAAGAGCTCAACGAGATCTACAAAATGATACTAATTTCAGCTATATCCAAATTCCGATGTTCCCAATCAGAAGTCGTAAAACAGAAGAAAAAGCATAAAGAATATCTGGAAAACTAAAATAGCTAGAAAGGTTTTGTCAACTACTGACTTGTAGAGCTTGAAATTTCACATATTCTGTTAGTTGACAAGTTGTTCATAGCTTTCTTG